CTAGAGTGTCTATTTTCTTTCTCCTTCAGTTTGAAAGTCTTCACCAAAGAGTCCCAATCCAGTGATTCATCAGTCTTGTCAAAGCTGATATCTGATAAAATGGAACCAGATTCATCAATGGTTGATAGTCTTTTGTTCCCAGCATTGCTGCTGGAGGGTTGGCCTGTGTTGAGAAAACCCAGAGCTGACTTTTGCTCCTCGCTTTTGCTGCCAGAAGTGTCACACATGAGCATCTCTCAAATCAGCGAAATCTGTCGTTCCAGCTTTTTGCAGTCAGCCTCAGCTCTGTCTCCGTCTGATTTCTACATCCATCTGATTACCTGCATGCTTCAGCTTAACATTCAGAGCACTTCGCTCAGTCTCTGCTTTCATCAAAAGATCCTTGTATTTCCCCAGCTCATGGTCAGTCCTCTACCACTTTTTACGGATATCCTCAAAGTCCTTTGCCAACTGGATAAATTGGGGTTCATTTCCTTCACTGGGAATCTCTGCCTGGTGCACAAGCTGCTCAAATAGATTCCGCATATTCAGCATCGTAGTATCCATTTTTTCAGTCAGCCTGGCCCCGCCTGGGCCACCCTTCACTTTGCCCAGTGCCTCACCCCTTGTTTTTTATTTTGTTTGTTGTTTTTGCAGAAGCAGCATTCTAGATCCAGGTACCAGCTTTACAATAGTGATAAAAGGAAAACAAGACACCATGTCTTGCCAATGCCCGTCTAGCACGTGTGGAGTGCATCTACAGCTAAAAGTCCTGGTGGCACCCCACTCCTGATTCCTGGCTCACATAGTGGTGTCCTGAAGCCAACAGTTCCTGTGGAAGCTGACTGACACCCCATGGTCACTTTCCTGATTGTTACAGAGGTGGCAGCCATTAAAAAAAAATGGCAAAGTCGCAATTACTTTCGCACCCACCTAATACCTTTCTGCTGAAGCTAAGTCACCTGACAAGCTCCTGTGTCCTGCAAGTGAGCCCTGACTGATATATAAAGAGTATTCACAAGCGAGATAACACTTTTTATTACATGATTTTATATTCTTTTTCCTACAAATAATCATTACCTTATTATCATTTGCTCAAGTAACTTTATGCTTCTGGCTAAGCTTCCCCACCTTCCCCACCTTCCAAGAGCTTCTCAATATACATTTTTACATGGCTGTCATCGGAGCTGTCAAATAATATATTATTTTACCATTTCTCTGGAGACTCCCACTTTGGACTGCCCATTCTCCTGCCCTTGTCTGGGAGGGTTGCCTCCAAGCTTGCTGCACAGTAATCATACTGAGGCCTTCCTTTAGGGCAATCCTGGGAATATCTTTGTGACGTAATAAAAATATCTATTTGGTGTTTGCTCATGATCCTGGCACAGGGATCCTAATACCCTTGGAACTGTCTTTTTATGCTAATGAGATGATTCATCAAGTGGCCCTAGATAGCTTCAGGGTGGGGGCTGGTCATCAGAGAAACCAATCCCATGATTCAAGGGTTAGGAAATTTGGCTCCACAAATGGCCAATGATTTCATCAATTTTGCCTACGTAATGAAGCCTCCAAATAGGATTCAGAGACCATTTAGGTTGGTGAACATGCTGAAGTGCTGGGAGAATGGCTCACCCATACAGGCCATGGAAGCTCCGCATCCCCCACTGTCCCCATAGCTTTCCTATGTATCTCTTCCATGTGGCTGTTACTGTGCTGGCTGTATCCTCTAGAATCATGTGGTAAACATAAGTAAAGCACTTTCCTGAGTCTTACGAGTCCTTCTAGCAAAGCATCAAACCTGAAGAAATCTAAGGAGTAGAGGGAGAGGTGGGAAGGAATGTTTCTGAAAAAGCACCTACTAAAAATCAGAGGACAAAGAAACTTACCTAGGAACGTATTCATCAAGTAGGGAAGAGTGCAAGAAGGGGAGGAACTGTCAGCAGCCTGGACTTAGGGGTGCCCCAGCTCTTCCTAAAGGGAAACTTCCTGGTTGCAGAGGCCAAAGCTTTTTAACACCAGACAGTGATTCTCCTAAAGGGACTGGAAAATGAGGTTTAGGCAGGACTGGAGACAGTATTTGTGAGACCCACTGCAAAGCAAAAATGAGGCAACTTTGTTAGAAAGTGATGAAGAATTTCCTGAGATTGACAGAAAATCATGAAACCAGAGCCCTTTGAGAGTGGACCTGTGTGGCTGTTCAGGAAGTGGACCCTGGGTGTAGGATACTTGTATAATAAGGAGCAGTTAAGCTACTTTCTAAGCCCTAATGTGCACACATATTAGAGAAGACTTCTCCATCACCCCGAAGCTATTTTAAATAAGGCCTTGATTATCTAGGCTTTCCAAACAGGTATTTCTGCCCTCCACCCTGAAGATTTTCAGTATAGAAAGTTTCAAACATATACATAAGTAGAGAGTACCCCCATGTACCCATCACACAGCTTCAACAATCATGCACACAGGACCAATCTTATTTCTTTTTTTTTTTTCAACAGAGTTTCGCTCTTGTTGCTCAGGCTGGAGTGCAATGGTGCAGTCTCAGCTCACTGAAACCTCCGCCTTCTGAGTTGAGGTGATTCTCCTGCCTCCGCCACCCAAGTAGCTTGGATTACAGGTGACCACCACCACGCCTCGCTAATTTTTTTTTTTTTTTTTTTTAGTAGAGATGGGGTTTCACCATGTTGACCAGGCTGGTCTTGAACTTCTGACCTCAGGTGATCCTCCCACCTCAGCCTTCCAAGGTGCTGTGATTACAGATGTGAGCCACGGCACCTAGCCTTATTTTACCTTCTTTCCCATTCATTGCTATAACCCCCCACTTAGGTTATTTTGAAGCAAATTTGCATAGGGAATTTTTTTAAAACAACTTTTTTTTCAGTTGAAAGCATCAGCTCTCCAGAGTCACGGTCTGTCTTTCTATGTTCTAAATTAGGGTGGAATAGATAGCACCTCTTCCCTTCTACTAATTTCTACTGCTGCCATCAACAAGAGTCAGACCCAATGCGATCTCATAGCTGTTCTTCCAAACTCACTCAACCTGGAGGAAAATAATTATTGATAGCATACTCTTTCATACCTTTCTGTACTTCAGAGGAAACTGCCTGAGGCTCCTCTGAAGGAGAAATCCTAGTTGTACCCTACAACTCAAGCCAAGTAACTTTTCACCCCTGGTGATCTTGCTTTCATCAGCTGATGCAGAATCTTAATCCAGATTCTCTTCTACGGATTTTCTTATATGATTCCCTATAAATTCTCATCTATGAGGCAGAGAGAGGCCCCAAAAGGCAATTCATTCATTCCTTCATTCAGGAAAAGCTTAGGCATGCTACTAGGTACTAGGATGACAACAGTGATCACGACAGGGTCCCTGCATTCAAGCTTAGAGTCCAGTGGGGGGTACAATCATGAAACAAATAATTGTAACAGTGGTAAGTATTAACAGTGATAACAGTGCACCATTTTGAAAACCCCTCGCTATTTTACAGACCTTGGCCAAAGTGAATCATTCCACTGGGCTTTGGGCCCTTAGAAATAGCCTGCCCAACTGCCTGTCTGACTTTATCACATTCTGCTGAGTAAAAGTCCAAGGAACGTCAACATCACATTCTGCGGGAACAAGGGCCAACCTGCCTCGTTATGGGAACATCTTATCAACACCTTCCCAGGCAGCAAGCCATACTGCCCACACCTGTCCTACTCATACCTACAAGTACCCCAGCCTGTAAGAAGCGGTGGGCTCTGGCATTAAGCTGGTCCCCCACCTCTGTAAGTCTTATGCTGGACAGAAAGCCTGCATTTGATGTAGAGCCACCATTCCCTCTTTCTTTGACCCTTGCCTTCCTTTAAAACGTTAACAATAAGTACATCTATTCTAGATCTAGCATTCAGTGGTATGTAAAATAAAGTTGTCCAAGAGAGCTGGGCCGAAAGCAGCAAGAAATGGAAGCTGCCAGATCTTTACCACCCAATCCCCCATGAGTTCTAGTTTTATCCCAGGTGGAAGCCTCAATGCATCCATCTTCTCAGCTTGGCCACCCCCTTGGTGGAAGTTGCAGGTCAAAACGCAGCTTTCTACTATCTCTTGATCTCTTTACTCTGCCCATATCTGTGTAAACTCTCCTCAGTTATCCATTTTGAGTTCCACCTGTTTCCTGCTAAAAACATGGTTGATAAAGGTCTGTATGAAGACTATTTATAGAAGTGGACAAGGTTAAGGAAACAGAAAAAAAAGAGAAAAGCTAGGGCATCCAGGTTTTAGTAAGAGCAGGAAACCATTATCACTAGGCCTAAGAGGGCAGGGGGAGGAAAACATATTACCATAGAATGGATGAGAGCTGGAGCCATGGAAGAGAGGACACCCATCAGAAGCTCTGTCATGTAGAGACTCAGCCAGTGTCAACTGAGGCAGGAAGGGAGTAGAAAGAACAAATATTCCAATCTCTCTCTTTCTCCCCATTCCTCCCTTTCTTCCTCCTTTCCCTCTCTCTTCTCCCCTCCAATCCTGTCTAAACTCAATTGGAAGAGAAGTTCAACTAGCATTCAGGTGATAAAGTCAACAGAGGTCAGCCTTCCAGGGTGCAGATCAGAGCCAAGAAAGGCTGATTCAGAAAGCCAAACAGAAAATAATCAACAATCCTACCTCATTGTCAAAAGCACTTTTAAAAGAGAGTAGATATCTTTTAAACTTTATTACAAAAAATATGTGCTTTTTGGTAACACTTTTTTTTTGTTTTAAAGATAGGGCACACAGCCCCAACACACCACCTTGCACATAGAAAATACTCATCGGTCTTCACTAGTGAAATTAGCAGTTGGTGGCTAAGGACCAATTTGCCTGAAGAGGCTACATAAGAACCTCAGAACCCAACCTATTGTGAAGAAACATGGGTTACTTCTGAGGTTCTAGAATTCCCAGACACTCTGCTTCAGCACTGGGAGCTTTTGCTCGCAGTTCTCCCCATAGCTCTGTGAAAAGCTGTGCCCCGCACTAGGATCCCATCTTTTCCTAAATCCCAACGAACATGTTTCTCTTACTAATCAGCCTTTATCTGCTTGGATCTGCCAGAGGTGAGTGTTCAATCTAGGCTTCAGGTAAATACAAAAAGGGGTCTCCCTTAAGACATTTCAGCCCTTGAAAAAGGAAGACCAGTCTCTCATCCACCCAAACCAATCTGATTCAGAATCAAGAGCAGCTAAACAAGTCCAACTCTGAGAGCTCCTGAGCCAGCTGATTTCTCTAGTCACAGCTTTACAGTCAGAGGGGCCCACTGGCTTGGCGCAGTCTTGATTCTACTTATTTTAGACACTCAACATTTATACCTGATGTGCGTGAGATGAAAGAGTAGGCCTAGGGGTTCTGTAGAAGTCCAATGAAGGTTTGTCCCACCAATTAAATGTGAGGTATCCTTGTGTAGTTAATGTGCCAAGGAAAGACAGATTGGAAGATGTGAAGTATTCAGAAAATAATCTCAGAACACGGCAGAGCTATAGGCTGGAGACCTCGTAAGCTTCTTCATGGCTGTGTTCTACCAATCCAGTTTTCTGTATCATCTCTTCTTTTGGGATCCCCTATTCACAGTGGGCTGTGTTGCCTCCTGCCTCCTAGAGAAGAAAGAGGTCATGGGCTCTGAGCTGTTAGCGAAATAACAATGTATTTTCTATAATGTTGACTGTCAGAGGTTTTGCTTTGGCTTTGTTAGACTTTCAAATGTTGACTCAAAAATGTAGATACACAGCCACCAGATGATAGTATGTGCCAGTCACGTGGTGAAGCAATGAGTCATAAACTGTAAGATGAAGAAATTAGCATCTGGGTATGCTAATTTCTTCATCTTATAGTTTTATAATTACAGGCGTGTGGCTCACGCCTGTAATCTCAGCACTTTGGGAGGCTGAGGCGGGTGGATCAGTTGAGGTCAGGAGTTCAAGACCAGCCTGGCCAACATAGTGAAACCCCGTCTCTACTAAATACACAAAAATTAGCTGGGCAAGGTGGCACATGCCTGTAATCCCAGGTACTCAGGAGGCTGAGGCAGGAGAATTGCTTCAACTTGGAAGGTGGAAGTTGCTGTGAGCCAAGATCACCCCACTGCACTCCAGCTCTAGGGACAGAGCGAGACTATCTCAAAAAAAAAAAACAAGAAAGAAAGAAATTAGCATGCTTTTTCACACGTCCTTCCTATATCAGAAACATCTCTTTATCAAAACTTTTAATTACTGAATATTCAGTTAAGTAGATAGTATTTATGTAATAAGTTAAAAAAATAAAAATCTCGGCTAGGCACGGTGGCTCATGCCTATACTAATCCAGCACTTTGGGAGGCCGAGGCGGTTGGATTACCTGAGGTCAGGAGTTTGAGACTAGCCTGACCGACATGGAGAAACCTCGTCTCTACTAAAGATACAAAAATTAGCCAGGTGTGGTGGTGCATGCCTGTAATCCCAGCTGCTCAGGAGGCTGAGGCAGGTGAATCACTTGAACCCGGGAGGCAGAGGTTGCAGTGAGCTGAGATCATGCCACTACACTCCAGCCTGGGCAACAGAGTGAGACTCCATCTCAAAAAAGCAAAAAAAAAAAAAAAAAAAAAAAAAAAAAAAAAAAAAAAAAAAAAAAAAAAAAAAAAAAAAAAAAAAAAGGATTAAAGGTAGAAGAGATTGGTTAGAAAAAGTAACCAACTAAGAGTTTTGTAATTCCCAGTGTAAGGTGGGAAGAAAAGAAAACTAAAATTAATTGAGTACTAGGCAATGGTGCACTTCACAATTTATCTTAAATACTCATGACAACTCCATGAAGTGAATATAAATGGTATGTCACAAGGATACAATTCATATATGTGTGTGTTTATATATATATTTGATATGCCTAGGCTTTTTTTATCTAGGCTATTTTATCTTAATAGCTTATAGCAACTTTGCTCTCTGAACCCCCAGCCCACATGGACTAGGGATTTAGTGTGAGAAGTAACTTGACATTACCAAATACAGGTGACTTTATCACTTCTGATAATTTTTGTGGGCTCATAGATAATTGCCATCTTCTAGTTTAAAGTTTATCATGTCCAAACATTAACTCTTCTACCCTTAATTTAGGTTACAAATACTCAGGTATTGAAAACTACTTGCTTTCCTTCTCTTTCTTCTGTCTCCCTTCTTCTTGTCTTTCACCTATAGTGGAATGGGAGGGAGGGTTGGTGGTGGACTTCTGATTTCCTCATTGATAGTACATTGACTTCCTGATGCTGATTTTGTCAGGGAGGCACATTCATTTTCCTTCAGGTTCTTTTGCTACATGGATGAGTGCATTCCCCTATGTAGTTCTTAATATTGGGGAACTTAAGATTCTTCCCTTCAATCCCAGAGGTGGCCTTTGTGTGATTCACTAAACACTTCTGTCCTACATGGTCTTTTGGGGTACTTAGTTGACTTCTCCCAACATCTGCACTGTCTTCAGGTGCCTGATCTAGGCCCATAGGAAAACTAGGAGTCTCATAACATTAGCCTAACTCCATAGGAAGCTCTCTCAGCTTCACCATCTCTCTTCTGTTCCTTCTCCACCCCAGGAACATCAGGTCAGCCTGATGAGCCTTCTGGCTCCATAGATCATCAAGCTTCAGTTCAGCAACTTTCAGGTGAGTACTTTTCACTTGAAAACCCTTCTGACGCTGAGGCTTTATATGAGACTTCTTCAGGCCAGAACACTTTAAGTGAGCATGATTCCAGTGAGCATGGTTCAAGTGAGCACACTGTGGCTGAGCACACTTCTGGAGAACATGCTGAGAGTGAGCATGCTCCAGGTGAGCCTGCTGTGGCTGAACATGCTGCCGGTGAGCAGCCTTCAGGTGAAAAGTCCTCAGGTGAGCACGTCTCTGGTGATCAGCCTTCGGGTGAGCACACCTTGGATGAACAGCCTTTGGGTGAGCATGCCTTGGGTGAACAGCCTTCGGGTGAGCAAGCCTTGGGTGAACAGCCTTCGGGTGAGCATGCATCAGGTGAACAGCCTTCGGGTGAGCA